GGAGAGAGATGGCTTGAGGCTATGAGCAACCTTGACAAGCCAAGTAGAGATGCTGCACAGCGAGAGAGGAGAATGGCAGGCAGTGGCTTGGAGAGCAGCAACAGAGACTTCAGACCCCAGTGGCTAGAGCACCAGGAGCCAGAGTCCCTAGTGGCCAGAGCTGAGTAAGGGATGCTCTGGGAGAGTTCAGGCAGAGTGTGGGTGGAGAGCTGAGTGGAGCAGCATCACCCTGGGGTGGAACAGTGGCAGAGGTAGTGCTGTGGACCTAGGGGAAACTGCTGGCTGACAGAATGCCCTGGAACTCAGGCCAGCCTGGGCTCCCAGCAGCAGAGTGAAGTGGAGCTGTGTGGCTAGCATTGGTCGGCCATGCAAGCAGGGTAGTGTGTGGAGAAGGACCCCTGGCAATGCAAGTAATGGAGCTGGGGGTGCAGCAGCCACAATTGGCTGAGGCTGGATTTCCTCCTGGAGCCAGAGTTGTTGAAAGCTGTGGGTTGTAATGGCGGGAGGAACCTTGAGCCCTCTAGCCTCAGGACACAGGGGTCCTTGGTAGATGGGCCGGTTATGGGAGGCACAGACAGACTGGGACTGTAGAAGCTGAACAGAGCTAGCAGCAAAAGCTGTGCAATTTGTTTGCTGGCAGTTTATGCTGGCTGCACAAAGAGCTCTTCCCCATCCAGCTAGCAGCTTTTGCCCTGGAGCAGTTTTTGCCTAGGGAAAAACTAACTGAAAGTGCCTCTGTGGCTGAGAGTGAGGCTTCAGAGATGCTTGTTTGAACTGGGTTGCAGGCAAGGGGAACTGCAGTAAGTTTTGGTAATGGGACTCCCCATATTCAGAGCTGTTTGCTTCAGAGTCATTACAACTTTGGCAGCTATACAAAGACTTCAGGGCAGCTGATGAGCCAGGCCCTGATTTTGAGTGCTCAGAGGAACTTTAAGACTGGTACCAGAACTGTCTTTTTGAACTTTTCAGACTTAGGAAATGGGATGAACAGGAGTGGTTTAATTGCAATGGGGCAATTTTGAATTTACTTAGGCATACAGACTCTATCAACTGTGATGACTTCTGAACTGTTTTGTGTATGCATATGTTTTTTATTAACTGTGGTGATCCACAAACTGTGTAGAAATGGAGAAATTTGTTTTTTTCTAATGAGGCCCAAGATTCAGCTTAAAAAATTATGAAGAAAAGGGGAAGTTATTATTCCTCAGTCTCTTTAATTTTTGAAAAAAAAAATTTTCTTGTTTTGTATGGATAATGTTAACTTGTGTTAATGTACCCTATGTTTTATTAGCAAAACGTGTAAAAACTATTAAGAATTGCTTTTGCTAAAGCAATGTTTGCAGTGTTTGCTAAAGTTTGTAAAGTGTAAATACTTAATTTACTGAGAGTTTGCTTTTGCATGTAAGTTTGTAAGAATTGTAATTATGTACAGTAATATTCATCCTAGAATTATGTTAACCTGTTAATGTTGATGAACCATGGTATGGTTATGCTAAGGAGTTCTTAGGTTTGATGGGGCTGCATCAAGAGTTTACTGATTTATTTGATGCAGTTGCATCAGGAGTTTATTGATTTAAAAAGGGGCTTGGTACAGCTAAGACTGCTGTAGCCATCTTAGACCCATTCAAAAAGGACATTCTATCTTTATCATCCTCTACTCCTTTACTGGGAGGTGTGGCAGCCATAGGGAGCAGGAGTATTGCTGTGGTAATTCTAGCTACTTGCAAGCTTTTAGTAGAAAGCTGATTTGGAGCTAAATAGAGTTAAGCTCTGCACCATCCCCTGCCAGAGGCTGGTAGTCAGAGATGGGTAATTCCTTCTTGCTAGTTATCAACCTAAGACAGAATACACTTGGCGGAAAGTGTATCTCAATGACAGAAAAAGCTGTCTAGTGGTAGAAGATGACCTAAGACAGGCACAGTCCATCTGAGGGGTCTGAGGGCCCTTTAAATTATTAAAAAGGGGGGCCCATGGGAGCCCACAGAGGCTATCTAGTGAGGACTTACTCAGGGTCAGAGAATCTGAGCTTGCTTTACCCAGCAGAGCTGCATAAGGAGATGATTTGATCATAGGCATGTTTACCAGGTATTTGGAAGGGTCTATATGTAGCATGAATCTTAAAAGTTCTTATTAATAAAATCAAACCCAGAGCCAAGTATTGGGGTGAACACTGGAAGATCAGAGAGATAGAACAGGCCATAGCTAACCTCACCTGGCCAACTTCCTCAGCTGGTCCTGTTTCCTCAGACTGGAAGCCTCTGAGTCCTCATCCAGAATGAATCTCAGCTGAACTGCTGCTTGAAAGCCTAAAAGCTTAACCAGCCAAATGCTTCTAGTTTCTGGTCCTCACGCTTTATATACTTTTCTGCTTTTTACCACCACTCCCTGGGATTAAAGGCTTGCTTTCTGGGATTAAAGGCGTGAGTCACCATGCTTGGCTGTATCCTTGAACAGAAAGATTTCTGCCTCTGGAATGCTAGGATTAAAGGTGTGTGCTACCACTGCCTATCCTAAGTATCTAGTGGCTTTTCTGTTCTCTGACCCCAGATAAGTTTATTAGGGTACACAATATTTTGGGGAACACAATACCACCACATCTATACTTGGCTGTATGGTGTGCTTTGATCTTGCAAAAGGGAGGTCTTTTGCCTCTTCCCTTGGCCTATTATAAAAAGCCCTTCTCAATAAAGGATGAGGTCATTGGGTATTGATCCAGGCCCTCCCAAAGCTATCCTGTGTTTCTGTCTTTCTTCTCGTCAGCTAGGTCTCTCTTTCTATCTAATATTTTCTTATCCCTCTCTCCTCCTCCTAAGAATGCTTCAAAAGGTGGGACCTGGACTCCCACAGTGGTCATGATGTCTCTTTGCAGCAATAAAAACCCTAACTAAGACATCTGACATGAGAAAATCTCATATCCTGAAGCCTTTTAAAGGATACAGTTTGTAGAAAATACAGAGCACTCATGTGAAGGGTCTGTGGCCCAAATACTCAAAGGAAAACTCAATTGCAGTGCAGTGCATAGTGGCACACACCTGTAATTCCATCACTTGGGGGGCTGAGGCAGGAGGATCTCAAGGATAGGTCAGCCTGGATTACAAAATGAGTCCCAGGCCAGCCTGGGCTACACAGCAAGGCTCTGTCTGCCTCTGCCCTTTGCTGTCTATTTCCTGCCCCAATGAGTTCAATCCCATCTCTCTCATATGTGTGCACATACACAAATAAATAAATATTTGTTGATTAGTTTTTAACATAAGAACTTACCATCACTTTCAGCAAGGCCTTATCTTTAAATTGAGGCAATGACAGAAATTTCTCTATCACTAAAAGCACAATAATAAATGTCTAAACTAATGTAAGCTGACAAATTTAGTCATTTTCAGCAGAAGTACTTGACTGGAAAAATTAAATTCAGTTCCATTTGGTGGCAATAGGTCATATGCTTTAGGGTGGCCTGGCCTGACATAACAAAAACTTTGGATGAATATCATCTGGGTCTATATGTGACTTCAGCTACTGACCTGAAGCTGCTGCTACTTAAGCAACTTTAAGGACCTGCCATGTTCAAAATAAATACATACTGAGTTCGTGTTTAAAATGTCCCTTTTGTCATTTACAAAGGTGAATAAAAGAAGTCTATATTTAACAGATAGTCAAAATGCTACTATTTGTACCAAGTAACACACCGTATTAAAGGGAAGCCATTTGTGAGGCTTGCTTTTTAAGACAGTTGAGTGTAGCCCAGTTGACTACTTATATTCCTCCCTCACCTCTCAAGTGCTGGGATTACAGATGTGTGTCACCACATCTGGCTAAATTTGTCAATTGAAAACAACTATAAGGCCATCAAGAAGACTCATTGGTTTAAGGAACTTGAAGATTCATTGGGTTAAGGAACTTGAAGACTCATTGGTTTAAGGAACTTGAAGACTCATTGGGTTAAGGAACTTGAAGACTCATTGAGTTAAGGAACTTGAAGACTCATTGGGTTAAGGAACTTGAAGACTCATTGGGTTAAGGAACTTGCTGCCAAACATGATCTGATCTCAATTCCTAGGTCCCATGTGGTAGAAAAAAACCAAAAACCAAAAAAACAACCAGTATAAGTTGTCTTCTCACCTCCATACATTGTGTATGTATGTATAATAAATAAATAAATGCATAAGTACAATTTTAGAATATAAAAAACGAATTATACATTTTTCCTGATCTATTAAAGCTATGTTCTTTCATAAATATTTTATCCTGAAAGCAGGTGAGTTGGCTCAGCAGTTAAGAGCACTTGCTGCTCTGACCCAGGTTCAGTGCCCAGATGTGGGCATCAGGCATCTCACAACTATCTGTAACTCCAGTTCCAGGGGATCCAATATCCTCTTCTGACTTCCTAAGGTCCCTGCATGCATACAGTACACAGACATACACTCAGGCACACACATATACACACAAATAAATAAATCTTCAAATACTTTACCTCTAAATTCCATATTGTAAAATACAACAGGATCAAAGAATCAGGAAATTTAAAGGCTAAAAGAATCTTCAAGGTACCTCTCCTGTGGAGGATTCTAAGCTTTTTCCTACATTTTAAGTCTCTGTGGTTCTTATAAAAATGCTGATGGACAAGCCTCACTCTGCCCATCTAACTCCATAAGCCTGGGGTGAAGTTCAGTGGGTCTTCTACTGAAACAGCCAGTGTACTTCATGCCCACCCTAGGACAACCCATGTAGGCAATCTGTAAATCCCCAAGACCAATGGAACTCCTGTGGTCCACACCCTAAATCAAATACCGCCCATAACAACCATATCTCATGGAGGCAGTTTCTGCCTTAGATTATTCTCTGTTCAACCCTTGCAGGTATTCACTGCCTCCTGGGGCCATTATACCACTAATGGAAGCTTCTAGCAGGAGCTGCTATATTAAAAAACATAAACTCGCTCAACATGGGCTTCCACAAGTACACCAGTGCACAGACACTGAGAAAGAATGAAATGTATGACTGACCTGTTTCTTCTGGTATTTGTTCAATAGACTCAGAAACAAGGCATAGCATCTGGAATAGCTTGCCAGGGCTGCACAGCAGTCACGGTAAGATGTCAGTTTGCTGTGGGAAATGCCAAATGGGAAAAATAAGAATAAACTCTTTTTTTTTTTTTTTTAATTTAAGTGCACAGAATATCACTCTAACTGCAGGCCATGCAAATTCATGAAAAGAAGTCTAGAGATACCACATGCAGTCCAGAGAAAGGAGTTAATTCATTTTCCAAAGATTACAGTTAATTTACAAAGACAAAGTTTAGTTCACAAAGTCCAGAGAAAATGCAAAGATGCTTGCTACCTGCTCTAGATGCTAAGAGGGCAGAGGGAATGTTTTAAAGCCCCTTCCTTAGTGGGGCTGAGGACTTAATTCAGTTGTAAACACTTGTCTAGCAAGCATGAGCCTCTGAGTTTGGTTCCCAAAAAGATGGCAAAGATGGCAGCACAGTGTCCTGTGCTCTTTCTATTGCTGTGGTAAACTCCACGACCCAGAGCAACTTGGGGAGGAGAGGGTTGATTCTTTGCAAAAACTGATGATTGGTGACTGAGAGGTAGCTCAGCAGTTAAGGACACTAGCTGCTCTTGCAGAGATGCAGGCTTAGTTCCCAGCACCCACATGGTGGCTCAGCTGTAACTCTAGCTCCAGTAGAGGAAGCAGCCTCTTCCAGCCTTCGAGAGTACCAGGCACACACATGGTGTACATACATACACACATACATACATACATATATACATACATACATACATACAGGCATTCACAATATATAATAAATCTTTAAGAAAAACTAAAAAACTAATGACTGTCAAACCTTTTGCAAGACTGATCAAGGAAATAAAAAAATCATAAGAACGTCAAACTAAGCATGAAAAGCAATTTTAATAACAAAGAAGCCACATAATATGGGAGTAAAACGTGTGAATTCTAGCTGGGTGGCGGTGGTACACGCCTTTAATTCCAGCACTCAGAAGGCAGAGGCAGGCAGATCTCTGTGAATTCAAGACCAGTCTGGTCTACAGATTGAGTTCTAGGATGTTCAGGGCTGTTACACAAAGAACCCTATCTCAACAGGAAAGAAAGAAAGAAAGAAAGAAAAAAAGAAAGAAAGAAAGAAAGAAAGGAAGGAAGGAAGGAAGGAAGGAAGGAAGGAAGGAAGAAAGAAAGAAAGAAAGAAAGAAAGAAAGAAAGAAAGAAAGAAAGAAAGAAAGAAAGAAAGAAAGAAAGAAAGAGAAAATTAACAGCCATGGTGGCAAGTACCTGTAGTCTGTCTACTCAGGAGGCAGAGGAAGGAGGACCTACTCAGCAGTTTAGGATCAGCCCTGGCAATACAATGAGATGAGAGAGAGAACAGAGATAGATGGGGTGGGGAATCATCTTGTAAGACTGTTGGTCAAGCACATAGAAGGAAAAACGTAAATGCATAACTTTAAAGGCATTTCTGAAACTGATCAGCATCTGGCTACTTTCAAACAACCCAGATTCAAATGATTATCAAATGTGGGACAGCAGATGCAAAGGTGAGTAGTGAATGTGGGAGTCCAAGTTCAAACAACTGACACAAATTTCTAAGAACGTAATGCTAGCACTGAGCTGCCCTGGCCACAGTCCACACAGCAGCTTTGCCCTCTGGCAGACAGCCACAGCACCCACAGAGCATTGTCTGCCAATCTCTGCCTTATGGACTTCAGGAGCCAGGGCTTTTCACCTGGAGAAGTGAGTTTACATCAAAAGAGGGCACTGGACACTTATCCTGCTCCCCACACCCTTCCCTGCCTCCTGCCCAGGAACCAGAGTGCCTGGCTACAGGTGTGCGGCCGTGAAAACGCCCTCAGCCTCAGAAAGGTATAAGGAGAGATACCACTTCTTCCAGGCGGGTTCCTGCTCCTCTCCTCAGGGCCACCACCTGCTGTGTGATATTAGTTTACATGTGTTACTTTGTTTATGCTGGGGAACAATGATTTAATGATGCGAAGGCGGCCTGCATTCTTTCATGCTGCATTTGGTTAACTCTGCAAAGCTGTGTTACTGTGCCTGTCTAAAACACCTGATGATCTATCTAATAAAGAGCTGAATGGTCAGTAGCAAGGCAGGAGAGAGAAATAGGCAGGGCCGGCAGGCAGAGGGAATAAATAGGAGGAGAAATCTAGGGAAGAGGGTGAGGAGGTAGAAAAAGAGGAGGATGCCAGGAGCCAGCTAACCAGACACAGAATAAGAAGGAAAGACATATAGGATAAAGAAAGGTAAAAAAGCCCAGAGGCAAAACATAGTTAAAGAGAAACAGGATAATTTAAGTTAGAAAAGCTGACTAGAAACAAGCCAAGCTAAGGCTGGGAATTCATAAGTAAGAATAAGTCTCTGCATATTTTTTTGGGATCTGGGTGGTAGGTTCCCAAAGAGTAAAAAAAACCTCCAACTGCACCCACCATGCTGTCTATCTGTCTGTCTTTCCATAGCATTAATATCTTCTAATGAACTCTATACTCCAGCAATCTGTCTCAATGTCCCTCTTGAACTATCAGAGACCTTTCAAAAACAGCTTTTTTGAAAGTTATTACAAATTAAACCAGACCAGACTTGAATCAGCAATCTCCTTTTTGAGATAAAGCACTTGAGTGTTATTTCCGGTACGCCAAAACTTGTGATATGTTTTGTGGGACATCGTTCTTTATCTCCAAGGGGCGAAGAAGACAGGCAAGCAAAGTAACACACACATTTGGCTAGTTCACAGCCTTCCTAAGTGCCTGCCAGCAAGCGGAGAGTGGCATTACACTCACACAAGAAACCAGCTTGAGTCGGGTGTTTTCATCTACATTCAGTGTTGTCTGCAGAGGAACTCAAAGGGGGAAAAGTTTCTTTCTCGTTATACACACAAATACTAGAGAGAACTCAAAATGTACATTAGCATCGGCTCTAGTCCGCTTCTCTTTGCTGTGATAAAACATTGACTCAAACCAGCTTGGGGTAGCAGAGGACTTGTTTGGCTCATGTCTCCCCGTCACAGTCCATCAGTGAGGGAAGGGACGGCAGGGCGGACATTCAAGCAGGACCATGGAGGCAGGAACTGAGCAGAGACCACGGAGGATGCGGTTTAGCGCTTGCCTCCCATAGCTCGCTCCGCCTACCTTTTCTATAACCCAGGCCCTCCTGCCCAGTGGGCTGGGCCACCCCACATTAATCCAGAAAATGTCCCACAGACATGCCCACAGGCCGATCCGAGGGAGGCCATTCCTCAACTGAGGTTTCCGCTTCCCTGGTGACTCTATGAGGGAGTCACGAAAAGTGACCAGTGCAGCATTTTTAACGAGGTGTCCCCACTTTCAGTCTACCTACCTAAATATTCTGGCGATATTGGTGCAGACATCCTTGTCGTCCATGTACTGCTCCATCACGGTGCAGAGCGGGGGGAAGGCCCCGACCTTCAGGAGCCTGCTTCTCGTCAGCGGTGAGTCGGCCAAGTTTCTCAGCGTAGCAGTTGTCTAGGGAAACGTGTGCTTGTGTCATTTTATTAAAGCTTAGAAACAGGGCCATGCCACTAGGAAAGCCACGCCTCCCCGGGGTGCCCCTGGGGTGGGGGTGGGGATGGTGGGGGGGAGGTGGGGATGGTGGGGGGGAGGTGGGGATGGTGGGGATGGGGATAGGGATGGTGGTGATGGTGGGGTGGGGATGGGGGGGATGGTGGGGGTGGGGAGGGTGGGGGAGGGTGGGGATGGTGGGGGTGGGGAGGGTGGGGGAGGGTGGGGAGGGTGGGGGTGGGGAGGGTGGGGGGGAGGTGGGGATGGTGGGGGGAGGTGGGGATGGTGGGGATGGGGGTAGGGATGGTGGTGATGGTGGGGTGGGGATGGTGGGGATGGTGGGGGTGGGGAGGGTGGGGGAGGGTGGGGATGGTGGGGGTGGGGATGGTGGGGATGGGGATGGTGGGGGTGGGGATGGTGGGGATGGGGATGGTGGGGGAGGGGATGGTGGGGATGGTGGGGGTGGGGAGGGTGGGGAGGGTGGGGGAGGGTGGGGGTGGGGAGGGTGGGGGTGGGGAGGGTGGGGATGGTGGGGAGGGTGGGGGTGGGGAGGGTGGGGGGTGGGGATGGTGGGGGATGGTGGGGATGGTGGGGATGGGGGGTAGTGGTGGGGACAATCCGTGCACAAGCAGCGTGAGATGGGAACAAAGAAGCCCAAGTCAGCTCAGTTGTGGAGAATGGAAGACTGCTGGGTGTGTTGTCATATGACTGTAGTCTCAGCACAAGGGAGGTGAGACACAGGGTTACAAGTTCAAGGCCAGCCTGGGCTACAAGAGGGATCCTGTCTCAAACAAATATGTAGATGGAATATTTATATATATACATATATATATATGTATATATATATATATGGTTTTTCAAAGACAGAGTTTCTCTGCTTAGCCCTTGCTGTCCTGGAACTCACTTGGAATATTAATATTTTTAAGTAAAGAGTTTGCAAAACTCTCAGAGTTAAACAATCATCATCTTGTCTTTGACCCTGTCATAGGCCCAAGTACTGCATATAAGAACCTTCCCACTCCAAATTCTTTTAAAATTTTTATTTAATTTATTTACTTGTTTATTTATTTAGTGTGTGTGTGCGTGCGTGTGTGTGTGTGTGTGTGTGTGTGTGTGTGTGTGTGTGTGTGTGTGCTGTAGTACTCATGTAGTGGTCAGAGAACATCTGAGAGGCAGTTCTCTGTACTGTGTGAGTTTCCAGGGGTCAGGTTTAGGTCCCGAGGCTTGTGGCAAGTGCCTTTACCCACTAAGCCATCTCACCAGCCCCTACATTCTTTGTTGTTTTGAGGCAGGGTCCTGCGTAGCCCAGGCTGGCCTCATACTTGCCATGTAGCTGAAGCTGACCTTGTGATCTTCCTGCCCGAGATTACAGGTGTAATCCGTTTGCCCAGTTCCCCACTCTAAATTCTTCTAAGTAGCACTGAATAAGGATGAAGCCAATAGTTCTGTATGACGTGTAGTCTCACTTTACTCAGAATACTGAGTTCTTACCAATTTAGCACATTTTGTTAAAAGCTTTTCTCCAGAAAGATTTTTGCTGTGGGCTTTTGTCTGAGGGTCAAGAAGAGAGCAACTTGGTAAATGTGTAACAGTGATTTTGTTGTCTAGAGATTTTAATTTTCAGTGTGATCTTTCCCCATGGGATTCACAGCAAGGTACCTGTGAAGAGTCGCTGGGTCTCCCACCTCCAGCCTGGCTTGCTTCCTTCCTTTCCCACAGTACCTTCACCTCGGGGTGGGACTCACTGGCTGTCTTATCATGTGAGATTAGGGGAGATAATGGGATGTGTGGATGGCAGTGCTAGTGTCCACCGCACAGGGTGGGGCTGCCCCTTTACTGACAGCTTCTCCCAGAGGTGCAGAGGAGCGAGCACAGGCCTGAGAGCCACTGTGGTAGGATTAGGACCGTCACTCACTCCTCAACCCTCTATATCATCATCTGCGGGAAGCAAAGTGGGCTTCCCCTGGTCACTTTCTGGGTGGTGGGGTGTACGGATTGTAGAAGATGTAGGAATGATTTGTGTATCCTGTAAAGTTCTGTGCAAAAGGAAGGCATTGTTGTTGGCATGGTACACTTTTCAAAAGCAATCGACATAAACCCAGTGCACCTGGAATCTCATTGTTTGGGGGTGGAGACAGGAGGATCAGGGGCTCAAGGTCAGCCTCGACTACAGAGAGAATCTGAGGCCAGCCTGGGCTAGGAGACTCTGCCTCAAAACAAAAACAAAAACACAACAACAACAAAAAAACAAACCAAATAATCAACAAAAAATTTAGCGAGATGACAGGCGCCCTTGATTAGTTTGTCCTTTGTATCAATGAACTGAAACATAACTGATTAAAATACAACTGTTCGTGTTGAACTAAGGTCCTCCTTGAAAGCTTCAACATCATGAATCAGCAGGGATATAAACTCCTCGCACATTTCAGTCGACCACACACCTCCGTTGGGATGGTGGGGGTGGGAGGTGGGGATGGTGGGGGCGGGGGATGGGGATGGTGGGGGGGTGGGGGAGAGATGGTGGGGATGGGGACAGTCTGTACACAAGAAGAAATAGCCAGGCACCTGGGCACTACTGATGAGTCTAAAAGTGGTTCTCAACCTTCCTAACGCTAAGACCCTTTAATACAGCTCCTCGTGTTGTGGTGACCCCCCAACCATAAATTTATTTTCATTACTACTTCATAATCGCAATTTTGCTACTGTTACAAATCATAATGTAAATATCTGTTTTCTGGGGGCTGGAGAGATGGCTCAGAGGTTAAGAGCACTGGCTGCTCTTCCAGAGGTCCTGAGTTCAATTCCCAGCAACCACATGGTGGCTCACAACCATCAATAGTGAGATCTGGTGCCCTCTTCTGGCACACAGGCATACTGTACACATATCTGTTTTCTGATGGTCTTAGGCCACCCCTGTGAAAGGGTCAGTCTAGGGGTCGCGACCCAAGAGTTGAGAACTTCTGGTTTAAAGGCTGGCTCACCCACTTCCCCCCAGGAAACTGGAGAACCAATGCCTGAGTGACTCCTGTCTTTCCCCAGGGCAGGCGGAGTCCATGGGAGCCAGGAACATGCATGCTAACCATGCTATGAAGACAATTTCTTCTCTCTGTCCGCCATGGCTGAAAAACTGTGGGGTGTAGCGTATGGGGCACAGTCACCATGCTCCCTCACTAACCTCCTCAGCTTTCGGCTCGAAAGGGGTCACAGTGTCCCTGGGAACTCTTGCTCCTAATTTAAACCCTACTTTATCCCTCCACCACACCATTTTTTTCCTCTCATTAGAAAAAGTTCAAGTTTTACAGTTCTTCTGCTCCAAACACATTATTTTTGTAAAAGACCCAGTGGCTGGGCGTCATGCCTCACACCTGCAATCCCAGCACTCCAAAGGCTGAGACAGGAGGATTGTGAGTGACACCAAGCTTGGCTGCATAATAAACTCGAACCAGCCTGGGGTGAGATCCTGTCCTCTACCCCCCAAAAAGGCCCAAAGCAGGAGTGGAGGCACACACATTAATACAGTCATATTGCTGCATTGTGCGGCGTACATGTAGTTAGAGGGGTAATATATATGATCTCTTGAGCACTTCCGCATCTGTCAATAGTGGTGCTGGCAGGAAAAAAAAATGCATTAAACTCATACCCCTGTGTGCAAACTGTCTGGTAACACCTCAGCAGATGATGCCATCAGTCTGGGTGCCCAGGCTTACAAAGTCCCCCCTGCTCTCTGTCACCTGAAGCCCTGGTGCTGTGTCCATTTATCTCAAGATAAGACTCAGTGGCCTGACCATGACCTCATGATCTGGTTGTTCCCAATCACTCAAATGCCACTTCCTGCCACAGACCCTACAAGAACTCTGCACTCTCCTCTGGCTGCCTGTCTACTCTGGGCCGGAAGCTTCAGGGACGGCATGTGACAACATGTTTGTCTTTTTGACACTGAGTCCCCAGGTCCAAGGCTGGCATGAACATATACGAAAGAGAGTTCCTCTCCTCTGTGCCTGCTCTGACGGCCACCATCTCTCCCACAACTTCATCTCTTGCCATCTCCATAGCCCCCTGAGTAGACCCTATCTGCCTTCTCTCTGTCTGGCTCTCCCCAAGGCCACTCATGTGATGAGGGGCTTTCAAAACCTACCCTTCCTTGACCTCCCAAAGCCAAGGGACAACATCCATGTCCTCCAGGCACTCAGTCCCCCAGTCCATGCCTCCAAATTCACCTCCTGTACCTGCCTCTTTCCCTCCCCTCCATCCACCATTATTATCCCCTCCTGCCTTTCAACATACTTCCACCACTCAGCGTGTCTTCTTCAACTACCCCTCAGCCTCTTGCTCACCTGCAGGGCCCAGCGAGGTCCACTTCTTTGCAGATGGTATAGTGACTAGTCAGTGCCTCTTTCTATGTCAACACCACCTTGCCCAAGCCTCTCCCTCTGCAGCCATTATATATATACATATATGTGTATATATAACATATTATTTATTAGATATAATTACATTATTTTTATAGAACATGTATATGACACACACACACACACACACACACACACACACACACACACACACACACAAAATCACTGCTTCATGCACCTCCTCTCTCGTGGAGAGTCCCTCTGGTGTATACTCTTCCTTCCTCCCTCCCTCCCTCCCTCCCTCCCTCCCTTCCTAGGGGTTTATTTTAATATGTTTGTGTGCATGTATGCATGTGCACCATGTAAGTTCCTGGTGTCCCGAGAGGCCAGAAGAGGGTGTTAGATTCCCTGGAATTAGAGTTAGAGACTATTGTGAGCCATCACACGGGTGTTGAGTAGTGAACCTAGATCTTCTCCTACAAGCGCAGCAAGTGCTTTTAACTTCTCAGACAGCTCTCCAATCCCATAATCCATTTCTTCAAGCTTTTCAGTGTTGAATTGCTGGCAACTGGGTGAATGACACCCAGAGGGAAAAGACACAGAAGGAAGAAGTGG